CATACATATCTCGAGCTGTAGGGGCGCTGTAGCCACCCCACACAGCAGCTCATATAAATGTTTTTGGAGTGTCACGGTCTTTGAATGTGATTCAACACTTTGCCTCTGTGCTACTGAATCATCATGTGTTGATTAACGCAGACAGCAAGTGACTGCTGCATACATAACCGACACGGGGGGTGCGCGCTCAGCCCAAATGTTACACATTGTGAGACAGCTGCTGTGTTGGGCACACCAAAATCTGCTCTCCATCAGAGCAGTGTACATCCCCGGTGTTTTAAACAGGGGGCGGATATGATGTCCAGGGACAGTCCACGTCACGGGGACCGGACCCTCCATCCTGAGCTGATGGCTCAGACGTGGCAGAAATTTAGCAAAGCGGCTGTGGTCCTGTTTGTAACATGAGAGAACGCTCAATGTCAACTATGGTTCTCACTGAGCCCGCGGGACGAACCACCGCTAGGGTTGGACGCGTTTGCTCACAGCCTGTGGCCCAAAATGCTTCTTTACGCATTTTCCCCACTCCCTCTGATATCACGGTTTCTGAACCGAGTTCAGGAGGAGGGACTGACGGCTCTCCTGGTGGCTCCCGAGCGTGTGAACGCCCTGTAGTGGACTAGGCCCATGTCAAAAACTAAGTCTAAGGTCAAAAATCTTGACCTTAAGAACCTTGTGGGACAGGAACTGTCATTTCATTGATTTGAATCCAGAAATGCAGGTTCACCCATCCTGAGACTTTCTTTCTTGAAGATTCATGTGAAAGAACACTCTCTTTTTTATTATCATTACTATTTTACAAATGTTGATAATCAAAATGTCTTAGTTCAAACCATTTTAGATGTTGCAGTGAACTAATCAATTGTATTAACTGTGTAATGATTTTTATTCTCATGCAAAGTTAGAACTCATGTCAAAGCTGTTACAGAGTAATTATGCCTTTTCTGATTTCTGCTTTTGAATGAGCAAGTGTACGTTGGTCCAAGGTTGGAGTCAAACGCAAAACAAGTTGTTAGAACGAACTGTCATGTTTTTAGAATCCTCTCAGACGTAAATATAGAGGTTTTGGCACCTGTTTCTAAACTCGCCAAAACAAAACTCTCTCTGTCTGTGAGAACATTTCTGATCTGTTTCATAACAATTCTTGCTGTCTTCTAACCTCTTACGTCACAAAACACACCCCGTCTGGTTGTTTCTGACCAATGGGAATACTCCCAAAAGTGAACCGGGAAAGAGCTCTTTAAAATGTCGGTACTTCCTGGTCTACTCAGTTCTGTTGGGTTCAGTTCGAAGTTCTGTTCAGTTCTGTTGGTTGGAGAAGTTCTGCGGCGCGGACAGTGCTGATATGTCCTAGCGCTGGACAGTTCTGTGAGAGACGGGATGATCCTGACATGACAACAGAGCTCTTCTGAGTTCCATGGGATTATAACATTTTCACTCGCCACTACTTCTGACGATTCACAGCATCCTAAGGAGACGCTGGACAGGTAGCGTTAACGGAGCTCCATATCTGCTGATTAACCTCAGAAAGGTAATGAGTCAAGTTTCCTACCAAGCGTACCGGGGAGAGCTGGGTTCTGATGGAGAGTGTCAATTCTGGTGAACACTTCCCCTCCCATACCATCTTTACTCCCTCTAAACTTCTTTCCCATCTTTAAACTTTTTATCAAGTAGATATTCTTCCAGATATTTAGAAATGTCTGTGTAAAATGCTCATCCACATCCGTGTGGGTAAAAGATCATAATTGTACAGTTTCATAAATGTCTGTGGTGAAGCAACAGAAAAATCATGGCCGTATGATTTTTCCTGATTGATTGCTTATGTTGTTATTTTCATAATTTGCCAAATTAATGTAAATGTTTGATGTTAAATTTTGATTCTGTAAATAAATGACCGCATTCATTTTGATGGGTCAAATATAAATGACGTCTCACGTTTGCATTTCATTAAATTCAATGCACGTTTTATTCAGTTCAGAAAAATGAGGAATCCGCGTTAATTGATGAATATATCCGAGCATCTGTTCATCTACAGCCCCATGATTCCCAGTTCTACGACACCTGTTATCGGGGCGCTCGTGGAAACTGCAGTGGAGGGAGGATGCTCTCCTCCAGGCAGGAGGAGCGATTAGGAGTTACCCAGAAATAGGCCAGCACCTTTGAGTCTGGCCGATGAGCAGATCCGCTTAGAGAGGATGGGTCTCTCTCAAGATGTAGTGCGTACGATCCAGGATCCACGTGCTGCATCTACCACAGCACTGTACACATCAAAGTGGACAGCTTTTCAGCGCTGTTGTACGGAGAAAGGTGTAGAGGCCACCTCATGTCCATTAGGTGGCATGCTGTCAATGTTGGAGAGTTTTGGATTATTGATCATTTGAAACTGTTTTTCTTATCAGTATACGTGTTTCAAATTATCAATAGTCCAAAACTCTCCAACACTGTCCTTCTGCAGCAGCTGATGGACAGAAATCTGGCATTCAGCACGATTAAAACGTATGCTGCAGCCATCTTCCTGTCACGAAGGTTTTTGGGGACAGAACAGCTTTTAATCATCCGCTGATGAAGCATTTTTTAAAAGTTGTACAGAGACGCAGGCCAATTTCACACCCACTTTCTCCACAGTGGGATTTAACTCTGGTCCTGTGAGCCCTGATCAAAGCTCCATTCGAGCTACTAGATCAGTTTCCGATTAAATTCTTGTCTTTTAAACCAGCCCTGCTGTTGGCTTTAGCATCTGCTAAGAGGGTGAGTGATTTATCTGCCCTTTCTGTCGCTCTGTCATGTCTCAGAACTAGGCTGATGACAGCTCAGCTGGTCTGAGGCCTAATCCACTGTTTTATGCCTAAAACATCACGAGCTCTTTAAGTCAAGAGCGATTTCGTTGGAGGGATTTTTTCCCTCCTCCCCACATTCAGAAGAAGCAGCATCTTTCCATCTTCTCTGTATGTGTGTTGACGTGTTACGTAACACGCACGGCAGCATTGCGTCAGACTCAACATTTGTTTGTGCACTATAGAGACGCATCTGAAGGTCGCCCTTTATCCACCCAGCACCTGTTACGCTGGCTGTGTGAGGCCATTTCTGAAGCCTTCAGAGCATCAGATTTAGAGCCTCCTGACAACCTCAGGGCGCACTCGACCAGAGGTATCGCATCTTCGACTGCTTTGCATAATGGTATGTCAATGCAGGATATTTGCACTGCGACCGTGTGGTCAACATCCTGCTCATTTATTCGCTTCTATTTACGTGATGTGACGGCTCGTTCCATGACACATTATGTCCTTAGTGCCTTAACAAAATTAATATTGTTGTTTCATGGAATCTCGTTTAAACTCACATCTGACTGCATTTATTACAGTGTGAGATGTTGTTATCAATCACAGGTTATGACTGTCAATCACAGGTTATGACTGTTGCTCTTGTTCTATGGTTATTAATCAGTCCATGACTACTGTCATCAATCAGTTCATCAATTAATAATCAGTTCATTTATTATTAATCTACTGATACTGAAGAGCCGTGGATCTGCTTGGTTCACGGCCTTTTTCAGCCTCTCCTATTTTCTGTTGAAAACCTTTCCGGGGCGTTCATGCACTCAGAACGCGCAAATTACACAGTGCGCGTCTGTGCATGGTGCGCGTAATTACGCAATCCGTATTTACACACATGGAAAGCTGAGTGACAAGATGTTGTTTTTGGGCAAGCGGGCGCTTCGAATGGTGTTCGATCTCTACAAAGATTAATCAGTGCTTTTCACATTCATACACTGATGGGACACACATTGGAGGTAATGAGAGGTTCAGTGTCTTGCCCAGGGACACTTGGCATGAGACTGCTGGTGGAATCGAACCCCCAACTTTTGTATTGGAGGACGACTGTTCTAGCCACTCAGTCACAGTCGCCCCATTATGGTAAATAATGTCACCATAATCAATGGGCGGTAGGAAGGAAGCAGTTATAAGGCATTTCCTGGCATTCCAATTTAAGCAATATCTATTTCTGAAAAAGAAACCCAGTTTTAATTTCAGTTTTTTTTAATCAAGTTAGCATTTCAGGTTGCTGCTGGTGAAGATTCTCAGTCATCCAGGACATGATAAATTCAAAAATGTTCAATACAAAAACAACTGGACTATTTGTAACAGAAGACGTTTCGCTTCTCATCCGAGGAGCTTTCTCAATTCAGAGAACAGTGAGTGTGGGGTTCAGGTTATCACCGCTCTTTGAATTGAGAAAGCTCCTCGGATGAGAAGCGAAACGTCTTCTGTTGCAAATAAAGTCCAGTTGTTTTTGTATTGAATATATTTGAATTTCAGGTTGTTCGTCATGTGTACCCTCATGTGTAGAACCTGATGCTGCTGACCACCTCCACAGCTGAGCTGTTGATGAGAAGTGGACAACTGAACAAGAAAATATTTGAACAGCATTGCCTGGTCTGATGAGTCTCTGTAAACCTAACAGATGGCTATGTGCAAATATATCAATAGATCATCCGTTTCTGAAATACTCAGACCAGCCCGTCTCGCACAAATGACCAAATTAATGTAGTGGTGTTTGAGTTCTTGTCACTTTAAGTAAAACTGGTGAACTGTCAGACTAACAAGCTTGTGATGCATGTGCAGGCATGCCTCTGTGCGTCATCATAATAGATACTTGTAAGTCTACAGCCATGGTAATATTACTGACGAGTTTTAATTAATCGGTTAATACGGAAGAAATGTCACCCAGATGGTATTTTTATATTCTCATGTCTCTGTTTAGGCTAGAGGCTTATTAAATTTCCCCAAGACGCATGTAAATCAGGATGTGTCACAGCTAAAACATTTCTAAATCGAGATGTGAAGTACCTTCCAGTGCTCTCCTGTCAGAAGCTAACCTCAAGTTTGATGCTTTTTTTTGTTTGTTTGTTTTTAAGTGGCAGTAGAGTAAGGTCAAGTTTGCAAAGGCTTTGGCTCTGTTTTTGATTCTGTTCTTAGCTGTGTTGTGTTCATGTGACCTTGCAGGTTTGAGAAGATGATAAGTGGGATGTACATGGGAGAACTGGTGCGCCTCATCCTGGTAAAGATGACCAGAGATCAGCTGCTGTTTCAGGGGAAGGCCACATCAGAGCTCCTCACCTCTGGATCCTTCAGCACCAGCTACGTTTACACCATTGAGACTGACAAGTGAGTGTGTTTGCATGTGTTTAACTGCCATCATTGACATGACAGCTAGCTAAGCAGCGACTAACAGTGATGTTCTTGAAATTTCTAATCATCAGTGAGCAAAGAAGACAAAACATCTTGCAGTTACAGCAAGTACTCACCCAAAGTTAGCTGTGTTGTGTTCATGTTTTACCAGTGGTATAGATTATTATTATTATTATTTATATTTTAAAACCTGGATAATTACTATTCCCCACACTAAATTTACAGTATTTGGTGTCTACAGTTTTATTCTACTAGGTCTGGGATGAAACGATTAATTCAGTCAGCTTGTTTTTGAGACTTTAGCACTTTACCTCTACACATATGTTTGTGAATATTCTGACACAAATCTTATTTTAGTATTCAAACAGAGTTATATAATGAGTATATCATGAAAGTGCAGACTCAGCTAGAATTCCAAAGTATTTACATCTAAGTCGGAGGGAAGGTTTAAAAAAAGCTGTTTATTTGCAGGAGCTTCTTGTTCTGAGTTCCAAATGTACAAACAACTAAGACTGTTTTCATGTTTGGCACACTGGTGGGTGGCATATTTCCATATTTCCTCTAGTGATAACAGTAAAAATGTCTGGACTTGATTACAAGTGTATAAAATGTATTTGAATAGTGCTTGTATACACTGAAATTTTGCAGTAAAGGACATTTAATTTAAGTACAACATATCAGTTTGGTAGGTACAGGAAAATAACCCCCTTTTTAACTCAAAACATCCTTATGAAAGAAGAATGCTTATTTCCTGCAAGTAGCATGCCTTTGTCAGGTGTTGGTGCAGCCTCCTGTCAAACCCCTTCTGAGCAGTTCTTGGACACCAGTGGTTTTATAGCTCTGCAAGGATCTGCATGTTTTATTTGTGCAAATTTGTAACTAATTAGGTAAATAAGATAATTTTATTTTAAACAAAATGAGAAAATACATTTAATAAAGCCAAAAATCTCAAGTTAAGGGATTCATTTTTTTTAACTACAGGAGTCCCATCATAATGGCAGCTGGGTAACTAAAGACCTAACAGAATAAAAGCAAACATTTTTTCTGTGTTGCTTAAAACAACTTATGTCTTTAAATTTGAAAAATAGACTCTGAAATAATTTTTCAATGAACCAAGGCACAATAGGATATAAATTATGTGGCTTGGCCCTGTGGTAACAATGCATTTTTTTAGGGCTGCAACAACGAATTGATAAAATCGATGATTAAAAGCGTTGGCAACAAATTTCATTATCGATTTATTGTGTCGCGCGATTAAGCGTCTCACGGGGCTGCAGAGTCATTTTGTTCACGGGCAGTGCATTGTCAATGCTGACAGACTGAATAAAGTAAAAAAAAAAAAAAAAACCTCTGCAGCGCGAGTTGAACAGAGCGAGGCAAAGCAGAGGCGGTGTTTTCAAAGGAAAAAAGTAAATTTTACAAATGACCAACGCAGCAAAAACTGTTCGACCCAAGTTTGTTGTTTCCCTTCTGCTTATTATATCTTGTTTCTAATAAAGCCTAAATATTGATATGATCTGTGACTCTCCAAAGCAGCTGTTTCACAATCAGCTATCAGCTGCTAAACAGACTTTATGACAAATTAAATCAGTTAACTTTATTTACTTATTTTACAGTCATCAGTAGGAATGTGCGATATGGCATAAAATTCATATCACGATATGTATTGTGAAGGGTGGCGATAACGATATATATCGCAATATGTTTTTGGTATAAAACTTGCTAAAAAAAAGCATAGGGTGCCCTTTTGCCATCATATATTTTGAATTAAGAAAATTCCACTACTAGGTCCAGAGAGTTTTTAAATAATAAACAATTCAAGTATTAGGCTTCTTTCTTGTAGTGCAAAACAGTGCAAAAGATATCAAACTAGTTGCCTCAAACTAGTTAGGGAGTTTGAGAAAACAGCAAGGAAGAGGGCAGACTACAGGAACCATTTGCGATTCAACCTCAAATGTCGACAAAGTGGCATCATTCCCAAGAGCCTGGAACTAAAATCTTCGGTCAGCGGGCACCGGGTAAGCAAGATCCTTCAGAAGGCACAGACCCAGCTGCTGAATGAACGGGTGAGACAGACCAATTTTACTATTGAGGCCTTGAAGGCCAAAGAAGAGCACATTAAACAGAAACTAACTATGTGTCTAGATCAGACCACACTTCAGCAAGTGTTGGACTGTACAGATCAGGCACGCTTAGCACAGCATGTCAAGTCCAAGACTCGACAACAAAACAAGTTTAACTTACTAATAACTCATCAACACCATCACTATTCCAATAACATCACATTCAGTGTAGGACAACACTCCAGTAGTCAATTACATGTCAGGGAGACAGAAAAGTGGGTGAAGAATTTATCTGACAGACAGCTCACCCAGCCAGAGACAGAGATTCTTGCCAGGGGACTGAACTTTGCGGTTGCACCAAGTACAATTCCTCTGGTGGAGATGATCACAGCTACTGAATCAGCCATCCGCAACAACACAATTAAAGAGGCTGAAGCAGGACAGCTCAGAATCAAAGTTTCAGCCTGCCTCAGCAATGCCAAACCACCACCTTCCAACATCAGTAGAGAGGAGAGGGACGCACTCACCACTCTTAGCAAGGACAAAAACATCATCATTCTCCCAGCAGACAAAGGAAGGTGCACAGTGATTTTGAACCAGAAAGACTATCATGAGAAAGTTATGACACTCCTTAGTGACTTAAACACTTATGAACCTCTGAAAAGAGATCCAGGAAGTGGTTACAAGAAGAAATTGATAGATTGCCTGAAAATTTTGGAGCAGGACAAGGCTATTGACCGTTTTCTGTACCACAGACTGTACCCAGGGGAGGCCACACCTAGTCTGTATGGTTTACCTAAAATCCACAAACAAGGTGTACCTTTAAGACCAATCGTTAGCATGATTAACTCTGTCACTTACAATGTTTCCAAATATCTGGCGTCTGTACTCATCCCTTTAGTTGGCAGCTCAGAACACCACATACAGAACACCATGGACTTTGTGGATAAGGTGAGTGATGTCATCATGGAGACTGATGAAACAATGGTCTCTTTTGATGTCACATCGCTCTTTACGTGTATTCCTGTTGATGATGCAGTAGAGGTGGTCAGTTTAAAATTAAAATCAGAGACCACTCTGAGCAGCAGGACCACGCTTTCCACAGAACAACTGTGTCAACTCTTGAAACTGTGCCTGCAGTCAACCTACTTCACATATGGGGAGCAATATTATAGGCAGAAACATGGGTGTGCTATGGGGTCTCCAGTTTCTCCTATTGTTGCCAACCTGTACATGGAGGATGTAGAAAAGAGAGCCTTGACGTCCTTTTCAGGGACACCACCAAGTCATTGGTTCAGGTATGTTGACGACACCTGGGTCAAAATTAAATCTCAGGAAGTCCAACATTTTACTGACCACATCAACTCTGTGGATAAATACATCAAGTTCACACGAGAAGATGGAAAAAAAAAAATGGCAAGTTGGCTTTCTTGGACTGTGAGGTCTCAGTCTCTGATAGAGGACATTTGCAAACTGAGGTGTACCGCAAACCCACCCACACAGACCAGTATTTGCAGTTTGACTCCCATCACCCTTTGGAGAACAAGTTAGGAGTCATCAGGACTCTGTATCACAGAGCAGACATCGTCCCCACTAGCTCAGGAGCCAGGCAGAAGGAAAAATCCCACACAAGACAGGCTCTAGAGCAATGTGGATATCCTAACTGGGCCTTCCTAAAAGCAGAGAAGAAACCCAAACAGGACTCCAGTCAGCCAACAGGTGAAAAGGAGGAACCCAGACCCAGACCAGTGGTCATTCCATATGTTGAGGGAGTATCAGAGAAACTGAGACGTTTATTTTCTAAACATAACGTCCCAGTGGCTTTTAAACCCCAAAATACATTACGGCAAAGACTGGTTCATCCCAAAGATCCAGTCCCCCGGCACAAACAGAGTAATGTTGTGTATGCTGTTCAGTGTCAGGAGGGCTGTGATCAGTCTTACATCGGGGAAACAAAACAGCCACTGGCCAAAAGGATGGCCCAGCACAGAAGATCAACATCATCAGGCCAGGACTCTGCGGTCTACACTCATCTCTAGGCCAGCGGTCACTCTTTCAGGGATGAAGATGTGCACATCCTGGATAGAGAGGAACAATGGTTTGAGAGAGGAGTAAAGGAGGCCATCTTTGTGAAAAGAAACCGTCCATCGTTAAACAGGGGTTTAGGCCTACGTGTTCAATTGTCCCCCTCTTACAATGCTGTGATTGCTAGTATCACTCAGCCCTCGGTGAATAGTAAACAGCCATCAGTGTGCTAATGATCCATTGTTAGGCTGATGGTCCTTCTTGAGCATGTGATCAGCTGGTTTTGGTTGTAAGCAGCAAAACTGGTTGATCCACTCTGAGAAGGTGCTATTTAAGAGACTGAGCTGAATACAGCACCTCAGACTGAGGAAGTCTCTCGGATGAGAGACGAAACATTTCTATATTTTTTTGTTGCTTTGCTTTTTTTTTTTTTTTTTTTTTTTTTTTTTTAAATGTCCAGAGGACCAGATTTAACTTTTTTAGATATCAAATATAGTTTTAGCCATATGTTTTAAACAAAAAAATACGTTGTTAACTCTTAACAGTTTCCAGTATTTTCACTTGAGAAATGAACAGCAACAGAGCAGCATTTTACACTGATACACTTCACCCTCCAACCCTCTAGTTGGCGACTCCTTTCGCTTTAATGGAGTTCACACAAAATGACTGTGGCTTTGACCAGAGGGTCTCGCAGTAAAATCACACAACAACTCGTTCTTATCACAGATCAGAGAGCAGGTTTCTTTAAAACTGACCAACGCTTACTTTAACTTTCGATGGGGAAAAAAAACTACTTTTGACGGAACACAGCGTTTTGCGCATGCTTCAGAATACGGCAACACTACGGCAAGCCGGCTGTAGTTAGCTTGTAGCTTCGCTACTTAGCTC